ATGTGAATTGATAAAGGAAATGTGGTATATATACACAATAGAGAACTACTCTGCCTTAAAGGATAAACTTTTGAGTCATTTGTAGAAAATTGATAAACCTTGAGGCCATAATGTTAAGTGAAATAAATCAGATATGCAAATTTAAATGGGAAGAGGATTAAGAGATGGAGGGAGTAGGAATAAAAGTGAAAGGAGATGAAAAAAAAATTGAGATGTGTTACATACATAGACCAACTCACCATCGGGAATTAATCATTACCTACTGCAAATATGTATTAATAAAAAAATTTTAAAGGAACAGCATTGGAAAGTGACAGTGAAGTGACCCTGCAGAGGACTCATGACCTTTGTCTTGTTCTCAGTAAGTCCTGAGCCTGAAGTATTCGAAGAATGACAGGATTGGTATCTACCGGCAGTTAGTAAATAAGTAAAATAAGGAGGAAGAGTGCTTGATATAGTTCATTTCATGAGATTTAAACCTAAGTGTCTTAGGGAGCGGAAAAAGAGGGAAAATTGCCATGGTTACAAAGTGTAAGGAGCAGAGAGGTCACCTGCTTCACCTCTAGGTGCTGGGATAAAAGTAATGTGGCAAATAGGACGTTTACTACATGCAAGGCATCGGGAAGAAGCAGTCTTCTTAGCTGGAAACCATGTTTCTGTAAGGGCACATGGTGAAGGGAACTGTTGCTTTACTTCAGATTTGTCTGATTAGTTATAAATGGATTTTGAAACCAAATACCCTGCAGGAATGGTTCCAGAACTCCCACCAACACCAAAATACAAGTATGTGCAAGTCCCTTATATAAAATGGTATGGCATTTCTGCGTAACCTGCACATGTCCTCCTGTATACTTTAAGCCATCTATTACTTACAATACTTAATTCAAGCTGAATGTTATGTAACAACTGTAATCCTGTATTGTTTAGGGAATAATGACAAGAAAAAATGTCTGCACATACAGAAGAGAAACAATTTTCTGCAAATGTTTTGATCATAGTTGGTTGAATCAGCAAATGCAGAAGCTGCAAATATGGAGGACTGACTACATTTGTTTTTACAGTTCTGGGCATTGAACCTAGGACCTTCACACTGAATCACATCCCCAACCCTTATTTCTTTTCTTTTCTTTGTTTGTTGTTGGTTTGTTATGAGATAGGGTCTCTGTGTAGCCCAGGTTGGCCTTGAACTCTCAGTGATCCTCCTGCCTCAGTCCTAAGTGTTGGGTGTCTTGGATTCTTTTCTCTCTGCTGGGACAAAATACCTGATGCCCACAATTAAGGAAGGAAAGATTTATTTAGCTCATAATTTGTGGAGGTTTCAGTCCATAATCAGCTGACTCCAAGGCAGGGTAGTGTGGCAGATGAGCAACAACTCATGGCAGTGGAAGATAGCAAAAGCAACACAAGGGCCGGGGAGATGGTTCAGTGGAATAAGCACTTCTCTGGCAAGTGCAAGGGACTGAGTTCAATCCCCGGTTCCGCAAAAGAAAAAAAAAAAAAGCAACACAAGCACAAAAGGAGGAGCAAGAGAGCCAGGCTTGTATTGTTTCAGTCAGCCAAAGGAAAAGACTAGAAGACTGGATTGAAAGACCTACAGAGGACTCACTAGCTTTGTTTTGCTCTGAGTGAGTCCTAAACCAAAGAAACTTCTCACATTTATTGAGGGCTAAAAGCAGGCTAAGGAATGTGCATAATTAACTTTTGTGAAAACAAACTACTATCTGTTTTGCCTGCTGGCTTTTATCAGACTCACACAAGACTTACTCAGTCATGTCCCAGGTGCAGGAGCAAAGTACAGGCAGGGCTGCTCCAAAGATGCACTGTTAACTGCAGTTTGCTGTGACTGTGATGCCGGCTTTCTAGCCTCACAGATGACAGTGTTTGTCTCCTGTGTTAGGCCCTGTTCTTTTGTTCCTTGGTCTTTCAGGACAACTAGCTTTTGGCTTATATCACTACACAGGCTCTTTCCATCTCTTATGTTGTATTCAGCTTACCTGCCCTCGGGTGGGGGTAGCATAGACACCCATAATCCCAACATTGGACCATGAATCAATCACAGACTCTAGAAACCCACCCCCCCCCCATGACTACATGCAGTTTTGGGGGTACATCTAGAAACAAACCATAACTCTGGATTTCAGGTATGCTTCACTATGCCTGGATCTTTCTTTTTTTTTAGTTTGAGAGAGGATCTTGCTAAGTCAGTAAATTGCCCAGGTTGGGGTCAAATTTGATCCTTCTGCCTCAGTCCTCAATTACAGTGCTGCAATTACAGGAGTGCACTACCACTCCTGGCTAGAGCCTGACTATCGTTTTTAGTAAGGGTCAAATATTTTGAGAGGAGAATATCAGTTCATTACAATGACATTATTTATTTTGTTGATTGTATACATTAACTTCAAAGAATCAGTGAAAAAATGTTTTCACAGTTTGCCATATATATTTATTTATTATATGTATTTATATAAGTCAAGGAACACTTTTAATGAAGCATACATACCATAACAACCAACCAAATTGTTAGAAGGAACAGAAAGAGAGTAATTCATATATTGCTTCATAAAATTAAGAAAATGTTAGCGGGGCTGGTGAGATAGCTCAGCAGATTAAAGCCCCTGCTTAGGCAGGCTCAGAGACCAGGGTTTGATCCCCAGCGTTCTGTGCCAGCCCCACCCCTAGGGTACACTAGGGGTGGTGAATGAGACTAGAGATGGTGAATGAGACTGGGTGTGGTGGGGTACGCCTGTAATCGCAGCACTTGGGAGGCAGAAAACAAGAGGATCACTATGAGTCCAATCTGTGTAGTAAGACCCTGTAGACCCTGTACTGAATACTTAAAAAAAAAAGAAAGAAAATGTCACTGAATGTTGTAAAACTTTTGAAGACTTGTTTCCATGGATACAGTTCTTTCTTTTCTTGTTTATTTGTTGTTGGTTTTCTTTTTGTGTTTTGTTTGGCTGATTGATTGATGTTTGGTATCAAACTCAGGGCTTTTGTACTTAGCTATATCTCTAACCATTTTTATGTTTTAAATTTTGAGATAGGTTTGCTCTAAGTTTCCCAGGATAGCCCCCAAGAGTGTTTGGATTGCAGGCATGTGATTGATAGTTTTTTCATGGCAACAAAATTGGGACTAGAGTGTACCTCAGTGTTGAAAAGCTTACCAAAGGACTGGGGAGATAGCTCAGTAGAATAAGTGCTTGCCTGGCAAGTGCAATGTCCTGAGTTCAATTCCCGGTACCTTGAGAGAAAAAAAAAAAAAAAGCTTATCAAAGTTATACAAGGCCCTGTGTTTTTACCCCAACACTGTCCCCCCCCCCCCCCCGACAACTTATGTCAAATGTAAAAATTTTAAAAAGTTAAAGAAACAGAAGTACTAAGTTGTAGCTCAGCAGTGCAGTGCCAGCTTAGCAAGTATAAGAGCCTGAGTTCAATTCCTGGTACCAAGAAAGAAAAAATCCCCTTTAAAAATGTCGTATCTTTTTATTTCCTTCATAGGTTCACATCTCTTACTTTTGTAAGTAATAATAATAATAATAATAATAATAATAAATTCAGTTAAAAATACAGGAACACATCAGCAAGTGGTCATGTGATAGAAACCTGTAATCCTACTGAATCACAACATAACTCTAAGTTTTTAATAACTTTGCTCATCCCCTGTAGTAGGCAGAAGTAAAAGCATGAGTAGAATGCCTGCTTCTTTACACACAGATTTAAGAGCTGTGCATTAGCACTTAAACTTGAACAGAATTGATGGTTTGTTCTGTTTGGTCCAACACAATTTTCAGAGCTATATCAGTATTTTCTGGTGTCATATTTAAATCTTCTTTGTCTTCGTTACTTTCTTGTCACTCGGACAAAATACCCAACACCAGCAATTTAAAGGAGAAGGGTTTATTTCAATCCATATTTGGCTGGCTCTAAGGCAGGACAGTGTGGCAGAGGGCCACAGCAGAAAAAAAGTTGCTCACTTCCTGGCTAATAGAAAGCTGAGAGAGAGAAGGGATGACCTGCAGGGGGACATATAATCCCTTCCAGGCCTCGGCCCCAGTGACCTGCCTCTTCCAACTGGATCCTACCTCCTAGCAGCAAGCTAGCTATAAATCCCCCTAATCCAATCACCTTCCAAAATCCTTGCCTGTGAGCACAGGAGGTTCTTGCAGGGAACATCTAGAAGTAAACCATGCAACCTTTGTAGTTTCATGAAATTTTCAGGGTTGTTTTGTTTGAAACAGGGTCTCCTGTCTGGTCCAGGCTGGCCTCAAACTCACTATCTTCCTGCCTTAATCTCTTGAGTACTGGGATTATAGGCATGTTTAACCATGCCTGGCTAGCTTCCTGAAATTTTCAAACCATTCATTAATTTCCTCAAATTATTTAGGGCTTTTTGTTGTTGTTTGTTTGTTTTGGTATCAGAAATTGAACTCAGGGCCTCACACTTGGCCAAGCAAGTACTTTTGCCACTGAACTTTATCCCCAGCCATGTATTTACTTAGTGAATATTTGGTACTCCATGTATACTAGATACTGTTCCATAATTAGGGATATGGTAATGACTAAAGCAAAAACATTTTGCCTTAATGGAGCTCCCTTTTAATGGGGGAGGGTGAACAAAATATATGCCATGGAGAAAAAAAGTAAGGTTAAGAGAATAATAATTGTGATACGAATTGTGATAAGGCATGGGTGTGCATGCCTGTAATCCCAGAACTTGAGAGTCTAAGTTAGGATGATTCCTGGAGGAGTTTAAGGCCAGCCCAGACAACATAGAGATTTCAATTCTGGCCAAGACCTGTCTCAAAAAAAAAAAAAATGTGATAGGAACATTGCTTTTATATTCACAGTGATCTGAGAAGTACAAGGTACTGAGAGGGAACATTGTTGGCATATTTAAGGATGTAATACCAGAGAAACATCAGTATGCCTGGGATAGAGTAAATGAGGTAAATAGAGTAAAAGAGGAAGTTATTTCATTTATTTTATTTGTTCCCTTTCAGGAGTTAGTGACCTTCAGAGATGTGGCTGTGGACTTCTCCCAAGAGGAATGGGACTGTCTGGATTCTTCTCAAAGGCATTTGTATAGTAATGTGATGTTGGAGAATTACAGGATCTTGGTATCCCTGGGTAAGAATTTCTTCCCCTTGCAAAATTAAGACTTCTACTCCTAAGGAGCACTTTGCTACCATTATGAATTTTGGGGTAGCCTTTGCAAAGCTTGGCTCTGTATCTGATGTTTGTCCCAAACAAATGCTTTAGTATTTATGGAGTTGGTCATGCTTATGTCTATTATTGAACTATGCCTAAAGCTTTATTTTCCGTGTCCTTCTACAACATGTGTTTTTTATATTTTCTTTGACTTACTCTAAGCTACCTCTTTCTTGCTGATAAAAGATTTGAATGAGCTCTGGGATATCCACAGCATAACCAAATTCTATTTTTTTTTTAATGTATGTAGGTCTTTGCTTTTCTAAACCAAGTGTGATACTGTTGTTGGAACAAGGAAGAGAGCCATGGAAGGTAAAGAGAGAGCTGACAAATGGCTTGAGCTCAGGTGAGTGAAGAAACAGGGAGACAAAAATCTTTGCAGGTTAGCACTCAACTTGACTCCAACATATCACTTCTTCATTCCTATTTGTAATATGTTCTCAAACACTCTAGGGCTACACAGAAATATGGGGTCTTGACTGGGGAGATAGTTTAATGGAATAAATGCTTCCCTGGCAAGCACAGGGTCCTTAATTCAATCCCCAGTACCAAAAAAAAAAAAAGAAAAGAAAAAGAAATATGGAGCCTTCTAGGATATTCTCCCATATTTGTTATTCTTAATTGTCTCTTCTCTTATACTTTGCTTATCCTTTCTACTAACTTGTCCCAACCCGCGGATTAGTCAACGAGGACCCTAGAGGGGGAGTGGGGATGAGAAGGGACAGGAGACACAAGGAATGGAGACAAGACAGGATTCTGATCAAGTCTCATTTATTCAGGGGAGGTGCTGGGTATATATAGGGGATGTAGGAATGAGGAATTTTTGGCTCTTGACGTCAGCAGGTATCTAGGCAACAGAGGAAGGTCCCACCCCCGGAGCATAGCAGGAGACTTAAGGCAAATAGGCGGGGTAAGAGGGAATAGAAGCTTAACTCAGCAGAAGAATAAAAACTTAAGAGTATGGCTGACACTATTATAAAATAGATGCCAGTCACAGGTTTCCCACACTAACTTACTTGTCTGTTCTCGGAGTCCTGTTCTCTCTGTGTTTCACAGTCCTTCTCTGGTCTTTAAAAAACTTTTTCCTGATTTAAAAAATTTTTGAACCATACAAGCTATAAATGAAGTACCAAGTTCAAATCCTGCCCAACACATACATGCAGTAAAACTAGGAAAGTCCTCTCCATGCTTTTGTTTTGTCATCTCTAAAATGAAGTAATATTTTTTTTTTGTTTTTTTACAGTTCAATGTATTTTAATAGCAAACTTACAGGAACAGTACAGAAAGACAGACAAAATTAAAAACATGTACTAACATGTAAGACAACTCAGTTAGAAAAGAATGGTGACTGGATGGAATCCGCTGTATGATAAAAATGCTACAAATGCCATTTAGTTGCTGTCAATAAGAATTTTATTTGTTTTTAAAAAAATCCAAGTGCTGGCGTTTTCCAGAAAAATATAACAGATTTTTATTTATAATTTTTATAAAGTTGCAATACTGAAACTTGTTCACTGAAATATTTTTGACTTGCATTAATGCTTCACATGCTGCATGAAGATAAAAATTCACACACAAATAAAAATGGAAAAACTCCCAATACCTGATTTCTGTCCCCTATTTTCTACTTGCAGTCATGTACTTAGATACCTTTTGACCCCACAGGAAAAAAACAAAAACCAAAAACCAAAAAACCTAACATTCAAAATTACCAATAACAGGAAGAAGAGGAAAAAAAATATTTTGAGAATGAAATGTTTCCCAACATAGTGGACTCTTAAGCACATTCTCCACGTATGCGACATGCTAGCTGGATATCTTTTGGCATAATTGTTACACATTTGGCGTGGACGGCACACAAGTTGGTATCTTCAAACAGGCCAACCTGATAGGCCTCACTTGCCTCCTGCAAAGCTCTGATAGCTGCCTTCTGGAAACGCAGATCTGTCTTGAAGTCCTGAGCAATTTCTTAAACCAGACGCTGGAAAGGAAGTTTGCAAATCAGAAGAATCAGAAGTTCAGTGGAAAAGAGTAGGGTTTTTTGTTTGTTTGGTGTTTTTGGGAAACCAGGAATTGAACTCAGGCCCTTGCACTTGCCAGGCAAACACTTATTCTACTGAGCCATCTCCCTGGCCCCTTGAAGTAATACTTTTGCAGTACATGAGCAGTTCTATCTTATAGTAAGAACTAGTATGAATAGTTGTTAACCACTATTTGTTGTTGTAGTAGTAGTGATACAGGGAAGTGAAACTCCTGACCTGACCTGGATGAGTTCATGTTCTCTAAAACCGAAGAATGAATTTTAGGAACAGAGATTGAGAGTAGAATATTTATTGGGAAAGAAAGCTTCTGTCTCAGAGAGGACAGAAGGGAGGCCCAAGCGGGTTGCCCAGGAAACTGACTCAGGTTATTTTTATAGGGTAAAACCATGCGGGGCTAAGATGGAGAATATGGGACTTGCTTAGGTGGATGTGAGATGGGACAAAACTATAGTCAATCAGTGGAATTACAAGCACCATTGCTCCAGTAAAGTTGATTAAGCCCAGGACCAAATGGGGAAGTGAGTCATGGAGTAAGCAGGCATGAATATGGGACAGGGTCTCTTCCTGTTGGGGGTTGGGTTAGTGACTCATTTGGGCTTTTTCAAGGTGATTGATACATACCTATTTAGAATATCAATCCCGGGTGCTAATCTTTAGGGAGGTTAGCATTTGTTTGGCCTTTAGGTCTCTAGGTCTGGCTCACAGCAGGAGGATCCATCCCTTTCACAGTTGTAAGGTATCTTCATCTTCTGTGTTATCTCCTTCCAGGACCTGGCCCTGTCTGACTGCCTATAATATTTCTATCTAATCTGGCTACCTGTAACAGTAGTAGTAGTAGTAGTCCTTCTTTTTCTCTGAAGGGTCAGTTCATTCATTCTTTTATCCCTTTAATCAACATCAACATTACTGAATTTGCATTTTACATAGGATACTTTCAACACTACTCTCCTACTCACTCTTCCCTCCAAGGTGCTAGGATGTTATGAATATATATATCTATATATATTCATATATAGATATATATAGATATATATAGATAGATAGATATCTTATATATAAGCACTTGCCTGGCAAGCACAAGGTCCTGAGTTGGATTCCCATTACCCCCCAAAAAGTAAAAAATTAGTTCTTCCTTTTGCCTTCATGTTTCTTGTATCAATAGGGAAATCCTTCTTATACCACAAACCTAAACACTTATATTCTTCTCCCCTAAGTTTTCTAGTTGTCCTTAAGAAACTATATATAATAGATATATAGATATATATATAGACATATAATTAATAGACTAGTAGCATAGATATAATATAGCTGTAAAATGGCAATGTGAAGAGGATGCTGACATAAAGAATACATAGAGAAAAAGTGAAAAGTAGAAGAGTCTGAGAAACTGGTAAGATGATGATCTTTAACAAAATACTGTAACAACTAGAAAACTTAGGGGAGAAGAATATAAGTGTTTAGGTTTGTGGTATGAGAAGGATTTCCCTATTGATACAAGAAACATGAAGGCAAAAGGAAGAACTAATTTTTTACTTTTTGGGGGGTAATGGGAATCCAACTCAGGACCTTGTGCTTGCCAGGCAAGTGCTTACACTGCTGAGCTAGATCTCTGACCCAGGAAGAATTAATTTGCTATCATTGTAAACATGTCTGACAACCCTACTTCCTAGACATACCTCCACTGCTTCTACCTAATCTTTTCTGTTCTTGTGTAATTATTTAAGAAAAAGTTTGGTATACAAAGGTATATGCGATTAGCTTTTATTCATTATTAGACAACATGCATAAATACACATTAGTATTTATTTTTTTTCACATTAGCTTTTATATGTACTTCAAAAAATAAAAGTCTATGTAACTACTTATGTCAACTCTCACTGGGATTACTATAATAATTTGTCTCTTTTTCCCCTTGCTTCCTACCTTGCAGTATTTCTTAAGGACAACAACCATTTATCATTTTTACACTCAAAACATTTTAATTGTGCTCCACCCTTTTACAGAATAAAACCCCAAATTCTTTAGAAGGCATATAAAATTTAAATAAGTGGATTATCCTTTACCTCCTAACTTCATCCTCTATTACTCATTCCTTTTTAACCACATTTGCCTTCTTACTATTCTGAAACATATTAAACAGTCTTCTACTTTTGAGACATTTTAAACCAGCTGTTTCTTTTACACCTAACACTTTTTTTCCTAAAAATCTGGGTGACTAACTTCTTCACTTCCTTCAAATTTTTGGTCAAATGTTACCTTATTAACGAGTTTTGCCTTTAACTTCACTAGCACTCCAGATCTCCCTTACCATGGTTTTCTTTTTCCTCAGCACTTACCATTTTTTAATATACAGTAAAATTTATACTTGTTTTCTGTCTAAGCAAATAAGGTCCATAAAGCTAAGGTTATTTTTTATGGTTTTAAAAGCATCTAGAACAGTATATGGTACCTGGTAAATATTTTATTAATCAATAGTCTTAAATGATGCAGCTATAAGAACAGATTTTTTTCAATGACTGTATTATTATATGTCTAAAATTATAATGGGGGGGCCAGCCAAATAGCTCTGCAGATTAAAGCTCCTGCAAGCAGGCACAGGGGCTGGGGGTTTGATCCCCAGGCCTGCTGTGCCAGCCCTATCTCCAGGCATGCTGAGATGGCAGTTGAGACTGGGCATGGTAGTGCACACCTGTAATCCCAGCTTTTGGGAGGCTGTAAACAGGTGGATCACTATGAGTCCAATCTAGTAATGAGACCCTAAATACCCTGTAGACCCTTCCCTAAAATATAAATACATAAAATAGCATTATAATGGGGCCCAACCATATCTATAATACTTTCTAGGCCTGAGATTTTCCTTCTTGATTATAATCATTCATCCTGGGGCCAGGGAGATGTATCAGTAGAATAAGCCCTTGCCTGGCAAGCACAAGGGCCTGAGTTCAATTCCCAGTTCCGCCAAAAGAAAAGAAAGAAAAAATCATTCATCCTAAAGTTTCTACATGATATATTTTTAGTTTTTCTTTTTTGCATACTATAAAAGCCAGTGTACTTCTGAGTTTAATTTCCTATTAAATTCATATGGTTAAATATACTTTTCTAAATGTATTTTCTGGTATACAACAGAGGATAATTTTCTCTTTTTATTACTTTTCAGGTTGGAAATCTGTGTGTGATACTGAAGAATTAACACCAAAGCAGGAACTTTATGAAGAACAGTCATCCCAGAAGATGATAGAAAAATTTACAAGCTATGACCTTAAGTACTCCAGTTTGAGAGAAGACTGGAAATATGAGGACAATTTTGAGAGGCAACCAGGAAATCAGAATGCATGTTTTAAGGAAGAAACAATCCTTTATACAGAAGACTTTGTTGGAGAAACAGGCCAAGAATATGATAAATCTTGGAAAAATTTCTACCAGAACACACTCCTTCATGTACAACAGATAATCCCCAAAGAGGAGAAAGTATTTAAACATGGCACACATAAGAAGAGCTTTAAAGCAAATTTAATGACTATTAAGCCCAAAAATGTATATGCAGAGAAAAAACTTTTGAAATGTAATGATTGTGAGAAAGTGTTCAGCCAGAGTTCATCCCTTACTCTTCATCAAAGAATTCATACTGGAGAGAAACCCTATAAATGTGTAGAATGTGGAAAAGCCTTCAGCCAGAGATCAAACCTTGTTCAACATCACAGGATTCATACTGGAGAAAAACCTTATGAATGTAAGGAATGCAGGAAAGCTTTTAGTCAGAATGCACATCTAATTCAGCATCTGAGAGTTCATACTGGAGAAAAACCTTATGAATGTAAAGTATGTAGGAAAGCCTTCAGCCAGTTTGCCTACCTTGCTCAACATCAGAGAGTTCATACTGGAGAGAAACCCTATGAATGTATTGAGTGTGGGAAAGCATTTAGCAATAGGTCATCCATTGCTCAACACCAGCGAGTACATACTGGAGAAAAACCTTATGAATGTAATGTTTGTGGGAAAGCATTTAGCCTTCGTGCATACCTTACTGTACATCACAGAATACATACTGGAGAGAGACCCTATGAATGTAAAGAATGTGGGAAGGCCTTCAGCCAGAATTCACATCTTGCTCAACATCAGAGAATACATACTGGAGAAAAACCTTATAAATGCCAGGAATGTAGGAAGGCCTTCAGCCAGATTGCCTATCTTGCTCAACATCAAAGAGTCCATACTGGAGAGAAACCTTATGAATGTATAAAATGTGGGAAGGCTTTTAGCAATGACTCATCCCTTACTCAGCATCAGAGAGTCCATACTGGAGAAAAACCTTATGAATGCAATGTTTGTGGGAAGGCTTTTAGTTACTGTGGATCCCTTGCCCAACATCAGAGAATTCACACAGGAGAGAGACCGTATGAATGCAAAGAATGCAAGAAAACCTTCAGGCAACATGCACATCTTGCTCATCATCAGAGAATTCATATTGGGGAATCATTCTCACCACCCAATCCAGCCAACCACCAAGTCCTGTAAATCCTATCTCCCAGATATTCCTGGAATGTATATACTTTGACACTATTTAATGTTGTCACCATAGAGCTAAGATTCATCTCACCAACATCACAATTACAGCTTCCTAACATGTTCTTTTCACTTTTCTTTTACCATTAAATCTATCCTATAATGCAAACATCTTTATAAAGTTAAAAAAAAACATATTACTATGTCCAGTTAAAATTGATTTTGCTTGCTGTTGTTCATGGATTTGTATCTACAACCTGTAAAATTCTCTTTGAGGCACTCTATTATTTAGTTTTACATACCATTTAGTCCTATTTTATTTCAGTCTCCTCTAGACACCAGGAACCTCCCAGGACTAAGACCTTAGATTCTGGAAATTCGTAACTCTACCATTGCTATGACATCATGTAACTGAACAACTTCTCTAAACCTCAGGGTTTTAATTCTTAAAATAGGGATAATAAAATATGTTGTAGAAATGTGACTAATAAATGAAATAGTGTCTGTTGTAAATTGATGCATATTCCATGAGAAAATCGCATGTACTTTATATAGTATGTCAATGAGAGCAGATATTCAATAAATAGTATTAGCTTACAGATACTGAGTACCACTTACACACCAGGCATGGTACTACATACTCAGCATTAATTTGCTTCTTATAACTCAAACAAGATGTCTTAGTGGACAAAGTAGATTATTTTTGGGAAATACTGGATCAGAATTGGGAAAATCCAAAACTTAATATAAGTGAGAGTCTATACTTGAGTGAATAATCATAGACACAAATAGTGGAATCACAATACTTATAACCAATTTTATAAGTTTTTAAACAATGCATGGGTGCTGGCTCCACCCCTGGGGCACGCTGAGACAGCAATTGAGACTAGGCATGGTGGTGTACACCTGTAATCCCAGCTTTTGGGAGGCTGTAAGCAGGCAGATCACTACAAGTCTGATCTAGTAGTGAGCCCCTGAATACTCTGTAGACCCCTAAAAATACAAAAATAAATAAGAATGCACGGGAGCAATCAAGATTTTTAAAAATAGGATTCACTGGGAAGAATGTATAACATATTTATAACAAGAAAATTAGTAATTATAATTGGAGAGAAAGAAAAACCAAAAAACAAATCTTTGGTCCCATTCGTAGGATCCATTAATAGGTATTTGTATGGGTAAATTCGGGTATTTTTGAAAACATGTAAAATGTTAAAATACAATAGAAGAAAATAAAGTTTGTTAAGTTTTATCCAGTAGTTACAAAGTTGAAATGAAAAGGAATTGAGGGAAGAAAACTAGTAAATACTGAATAGCTACTGTTTGCCAGACACTACAAAAGCCATGTTCTCATGAAATTAAATTCTAGAGGTGGAAAAATTTGAATTAATACTTAAGTGTAAAGCCATCACTTTTCTAATCTAGAAAACAATAATAACAAGAAAAGCCACATTATGTTGAAGAGAGTAAAGACAATGAAGTTGACAGTTCCTCCTTCACAAATTCACTGCAATTCCAGTCAAAATTCCCCAGTGTACATTTTTGCTTTTTAATTTCATAAATTTCAGGAATTCATCTATGAAGTGTAAATTCTTAAAAGCAATAAGAGAATTATGAAGTCTAGTATGTTTGTTAAAACATGATGATGGTTAATACATTAGAGAAAAGGTAGATTTGGGGGATATTAGAAAAACTGACTGTACAACACCAGCAGTAATGGATATATAAAATAAAAAACAAAAACTTAGGGCTAGGGAGATGGCTCAGTAAAATAAGTGCTTCCCAGGCAAGTGCAAGGCCCTAAGTTCAGTCCCTGGTTCTGCAAAAAACAAAAACAAACAAGAAAAAAAAAAAACTTGAAATGATCACATTAGCAAAAGGATCACAGTGTCAATTTCTGGAAATCTGTAGATCAATGGGAACACTCAAGCAATGCTATTGAAGTGACTGTTCTAAGCATAGTTAGACAAAATCTAGTAAAGATGATGTGAGTGCTGTCTGATTAGCAGATCCACTTAAATCTCTAGTCTCTCGTCATGTCTCAGGGACATGTACATGAAGGTCTATTGCAGCATTACATGTAAGAATTCAAAGGTAGAAGCAATCTATTAGACTGAGCATAATTTACAATGCAATTTAAAATGGGTAACTGAAGATATTTCTGTTATGTTTTAATTTTTTTGCTTGTTTTGAGACAAGGTCTCACTGTGTAACCCAGGGTGGCCTCAAACTCCTGCCTTAAGAGTCCTGTGTGCAATCCTCCTGCCTTAAGAGTCCTGTGTGCTGGAATTACAGGCATGCACCACCATGCCCAGAAGATAACTAGAGATACTTCTATGATAATGGATAAGTCCTAAAATATTACTGAAGTTGAACTATAGATTATTTTCTATAATATAGTACCACTTACATAAAGTTTGAAAATATGTAAATTGATAGTATATGTATTTTCCATGGCTAAATACTACATAGGAAGAAGGCAAAGGCATTCTTGGAAATAATCATGTAATCCATAACAGTGCTGATCTCTAGAGGGAAAGAAAAATGAGACTGATGAAAGGATTAAAAGGGAAAATATTTCTTTAAAAATAAGCAAAGAGGGGCCCTCGCAGCGGCAGGATGGGCAAGTGTCGTGGCCTCCGTACTGCCAGGAAGCTCCGCAGTCACCGGCGGGACCAGAAGTGGCACGACAAGCAGTACAAGAAGGCCCATCTGGGCACAGCCCTGAAGGCCAGCCCCTTTGGGGGTGCTTCCCACGCAAAGGGGATCGTGCTGGAGAAAGTAGGGGTTGAGGCCAAGCAGCCCAATTCTGCCATCAGGAAGTGCGTGCGAGTCCAACTGATCAAGAACGGCAAGAAAATCACAGCTTTTGTCCCTAATGATGGGTGTTTGAACTTCATTGAGGAAAATGATGAAGTGCTGGTTGCTGGATTTGGTCGAAAAGGTCATGCCGTTGGTGACATTCCTGGAGTCCGCTTTAAGGTTGTTAAAGTAGCCAGTGTCTCTCTTTTGGCTCTCTACAAAGGCAAGAAGGAAAGACCAAGATCCTAAGTTTTAATGATGAAAAGACAGTAATAAATTTTCATATTACAAAAAAAAAATAAGCAAAGATAGCTAATTCTTAAAATTAGATAAAGCTGGTTTTCAGTGTATGAGTTGAGTCTTCCTCTCTGTATCTATTTAAACTAATTCGTAATAAAATAATATTTAAATGATGTTTGCTTTGTCACTTAGATCCTCATACTGCCCCAGGTATGTTACAGGTATTTCCATATTTACAATTTTCTTCCCAAAAAACTTAATAATCAATTTCCAGGGACAAACACTGTTAAAAATTTAGACTTACTGAGTGTCTTGAGACTATTTCATTTTAAACAGGGTCACATTATGTAGTCCAGGCTGGCCTCCATTGACAGCCCTCCTACATCAGTCATCTGAATGCTAGGATTACAGGCATTATGTCCAGCTTTGAGAATTTTTTTTTTCACCAGGGATCAAACTCAGGACCTTGGATTTGCCAGGCAGGCAGGCACTTAAGCTGTTGAGCTATATCTCTGGCCCTGAGATTAATTCCCCACCCCACCCCACCCCGGTACTGGGGATTGAATTTAGGACCCTGTGCTTGCCAGGCAAGTGCTTATTCTACTGAGCTATCTCCCCAGGCCCCTGAGATTAATTTTTATACTGAAGGTTTTACCAACCTACTTACCTTCCTCATCATCTTAATGACAAGACCCCATTCCATATGCACCATGACTTATTAATTTCCTGTTGGGTTTAACTTAAATTTCTAGAATTATGTTGGGCCAATTACTATCCTTTGTGTGTTCAGAAAGGATGTTAAAGGGAGATGAAAAAAACAGATGATTCTACCTTTGTTTTAGAACTGATATCTGATGTTGTAAAACATTAAATTCCTAGCAGTACTTACTGGTAGCTGCTGTTATTATTTTATAAAATATATTGAGGGGAGAATGGTGAAATGAAATTAGAGAAATGAAACAGAATGAGGCTGTTATAGTAGAAACAAGGGGGCAGACACCAAAATTTGTTGGAAATAAGTAGTTTCCATAGAGGGAAAAAATATATACAGCAACTTTAGATTTAAAAATATGCGTTTAAGTTAACTTAGTCACAGGAGTTATAATTAGTATCCACATCTTGAGGGAGCTTAACATTTGTAATGTATTTTTGTTTGCAACTCCAATAAAAACTTTCAAAAAGCTGGGCATAATGGC